TATATATATACATATATAATATTACCGTCCAAGCTGTTATTTAATTTCTGTAGTTCATATTGGCGTATAAAAAACATTTTAACCCTAGTAATAAGTGACCTTATAAAATCTAATGGAAGTTTGAGTGTTCAGTTAAAGAAATATAACAAATTTGGTATTATAAGGTTGTTTATTTCTAGTATTAAGCTGTTATACTGAACAAGATATACACGGGTCTTTTATCAGTATATCTAATTGTTTGGTGAACAAATTAAATAATTACTTACAGATTATTTCAAGCCAACCTCCTGCAGTTCCACCACCACCTCCTCCTAGGGGACTCGAATATGACATTTCTGTAGTTTCTTCAGGTCAGGATGCTCCTCAGGACGTTGTGAGCTATGAACAATTTGAAGCTGGTGATGACTGGGATGATGATTGGGATGATGACGAGTTAACATTTAGCTCTCAGGTAATAAACGTGTTGTGAGTTCAGCAGTAGGCATAGATTTAGTGGATTTTTTATTATGTAGGGTAAAATGTTTGTTGCCAAAAATGTGAAGGTAAAAACTCTAAACAAAACTCCCAGAAAAATCTCAATATAAAAAGTTTTAGGAATAAAACACGTGAATTTAGGGGAGCAGCTACTTCAAGTCTAGTGGCATGCAAGTTTTATAGGTAGACACACAAGGAAGATAGAATTTTTGAGTGTGGAAATGAGTATCTATCAGTAATACATTTTCAAGTTCGGAAAAATTTAATATCATTTTAGGATTATGTACGTTATTAAAAAGTAATTTAGATTTGGTGTACCTTACTTAATGTTTACATGCACATATTTATTTTGTTATATTTACTGTATAATTCATGAGATTTTTGAATGTTTTTGTTGGTATTGTTAATGTCCTTCCTTTGATTTCGAGTGTTTGACTTCTTTTTTGTAGCAAGAACAATTCTCAGGGCCAGGCATGTATGGAGTTTCAATCCCAGACCAATCTTGGAAGAGCAGCAGTACTGGAGACATAAGGAATACCACTCCCAGTGGTCAGGATGCTTCAGGGATGTGGACAGTTAAAAAGAGTATTAACAGGTTAATAATCTTTTTTATTTCTTCTTCCTGTAAAATCTTAGGTTTGTTTCGAGAGAGAGTTCTGATACCATTTTATAATATCCCTTGAAAAAGATTACTATTTTCCAGTATTACAAGAAAAGCAAGTTAATTAAAAAGGACATTCTATTATGCTCAGTTCTACCATAATGTGCTGAGTCTGATTTCCACTAATTATTAGTTTTGCTGTTTTATGATTAGTATATTTTATTACTGTTTGTTTAACTTTGGAAAAAATAATCAGAATAATTTCAAGGTAATGATGTGCAAATAGTATGAGATTTGAGTGAATTAAATACTAAATTTATTAATGGCAAGGTGGCTTTCTAGGCTCTAGTTTTGGAGAAAATGTATTCTGCATATTAACTTATATTACCTTATCTTACAGTTAGTGTAACCATTTAGAGAAATGGTATTTGGATATGACTATAAGCCTAATAATTTTAGGCTTATAGATGTGGCATGTTAAAATATATGAATAAGATGTTTATGTACTGCTATTACTTATGGATAACATACATGTAATTAATCTTTTGTGGTATATGTCTTATTGTGCTGCAAGGTAAAAAAAAAAACAGCAACAAATATTTATATAGTTAGAAGATTTTGTATCATATTTTATAAATTTTTGTAATTTTTACCACTTTACATGATATAGTTATAATTAAAGAAAAAATAATAATTTCTTCATTCTAGGTTCTCTACATTTGTAAAGTCTGGTGGTGAAGCTTTTATTTTGGGAGAAACCAAAATAAACGTTCCAGCAAATTCCATTATCCAGATATTGGTAAGTATTCAGCACATTGTTATTATTTGATATTAGATCATCCCAATCACATTTTATTAATGGCTGCAAATAGTATTTTGTGTTGGAAAACTAACAGTCATGGCTAAACCCTTTATTAGTAAAATACGTAAATACTTTTTTTGGTGATTGTCCATAGTATCAGTTACAAACAAAATTTCTACTAATTATGATATAAATGGAGGTGTTATAAACCAATTGGATTTTAAAGGTCTGTTACTTTAATTATTTGATATTAAAACCAGAATAATATTTTCATGTAAGAAGGTCCACTAGATTAAATTTTGCACAAAATTGTCAGACAAAAGCATGTATATATGTATTTCTAAATGTTACCTACTTGCGCAGACCACAGTCTACAAGACATGGATTGTTTGAGCAGATTGTTTGAACTGTAAAAATTGCTTCATACCATATTTGTGTACAGTTTGTTATTACCAGCTTATTGAACATGTTCTGTTTTGGTTTTATAAGTTTGTAAACATACAGCAGTGGTCACTAACAGTAACCAACTCATATTTGTGTTTTGGCTACAACATTATGATTGATCCAGAAATAAAAAGCTATCTGATGAAATGTCATCATAATTTGTCCAGAAATAAAATATCTGTATGATAAAATAAGAATCACAATTTAGTTTTCAAGCAAGACAATAAATTAAAAAATGAAAAACTACAGTTGTAAAATAATTTTTTCGACTATTTCAACTGTACTTCACAAAACCGTGTACTGATGATTGTGTAAAAATATTTTATGCAAGATAATGTAAATTTATATGTTAAAGTTTAGCTTTATGTACCAAGTATGTACCATTATTTTAGTGAAGATCTTCCATTTTTAAGAAAATATTTTGGGAAAAGTTAAGTATTTACAAATACACATTGTGATTGAGTTATCAAAACACACAACTTATAGTTTTGAAAGCAGATTTAAAATAAAAGAAACTGTTTGAAAAGCAGTAAATATTTATATGTTAAGAGTATCATGAGCAATTCTAATATTTTTTAAAAATTCTATTAATAGTTTTCCACCATGTAGGAGCCCGGCATGACCAGGTGGTTAGGAAGCTCGACTCGCAATCTGAGGGTTGCAGGTTCGAATCCCCGTCCCACCAAACATGCTCACCCTTTCAGCCATGGGGCATTATAATGTTATGGTCAATGCTACTATTTGTTGGTAAAAGAGTAGCCCAAGAGTTAGCG